TTATTATTTGTACATTTGCCCAAAAGCAGTCAAAATGACTTCCTTGGGCAATCTAGTGTTAAACATAATAATTGATCACTGGTTTTGTTAATAATTTTTATTGATTTATCGATTGATTCTGTTCGTAGCTGGGTTTCTTCACATATTATACAGTAGCGATGGGTGAGGTGAATCCTTCTGGGCCCGTACCGATCGACAGTGTCTTCATCTACAGGCCAGATAAACGTCTCGAGCTCTGGAGGTTCGCGTTTTATATGTTCCTGCACGCAGGGTAAGTCGAATTATTGTGTTCACATCGAATTATTAAAAAGCAAATATACGTACGTGATTAGTTCGATTAATAAGACCTGTGGAATAACGAAAATAGTTATACATAATTGACAGAGTCTCATAATATTGGTTGGTCGATTTTAATTTGTCGAGTCAATTCTATTTCGTATTTTAAATACTGTCGCTAGACTTTTCTACTCAAATTTCATGTGTCACTGATTAAAATACCACCATAATACTTGTCGTTCATCAACATTAATCGAGACCGAGCTCTCTTTGTACAGAGGATTGAAAAGCGAATATAAAACGGTCGTTGTTCTCTGAACGATGAAATAAAACGATGAAATTATTGACGATCGAGTTTTATTAGCGGCGACTTGGACCCTGTTACTTCTTAATACTATGCGATATCCGTTTCGCAGAGAGCGAAATTTCATAACAGTCATCGGGAAATGAATCGAAACTGCGATCGCGTTTGTGAAAAAGAATGTCCTGGAAAATTCACGTTGGTTATGCTCTTTTGATGAAACCTTTATGCTTAGTAAACTCGTTATTCGTTGGGCTAGTAAAATCGTTCGGAACGTTTCCGATACAAAGGATTGCAATTGAAGTAAAATCGAATTATAAACATTTTATGCGAGTATACAATTGATTGGTAACATCGGAATCTACAAAGAGCATTCGCTTAGCTCATAAAATTGTGCACCCACGGAAAACAAATCACGCATCATTTAATTCGGAACGGAAGAACGCATCTCGCGAGGGGTGAAAAAGGAAAGGGTGAAGGGCGATTGGGAATTCGTTGAATGCGCTGCGAGAGGGAACGTCACGCGTGTGACAAATTGGACATTTTGCTGGCCAGTTTTCTCGATTAGCTCGAACAGCCGGACGCCCTTCCCGACGCAATTCTCGTGTTAATCCTTGACGCTAATTTCCATCAGTTTCCAGCGGGGCGACCCCGCGTCGCGCGAATCACGTTGCAATCTCTTGCCGGCCGACACGAATCGAATTCAACCATCGTTCCCCGGCCATCGAGTCGAACAGAATTACGTGAACGTCGCCAGGCGCGTGCCTGCCTTCGCGATGGGACATCCGCTTCCTTACAGTTTCTCTCATTCTCTTTCGTCAGATGCCTTCCATTAATCCCTGAAAATTATGTTCCCCAGCTTCTTGTACATTCTCTTCATCCTGCTTTCATGAAAACAATAGATTCTTATCAAACTGTGGAAGAATAGAACGTATATGACATCAATTTAAAAGAGAGTAAAAAAATATAAAGTGATCCCGCGGAACGGACTGCCGTAGCGAAAGGGTTAATCTGACATCCCATATTTTTCTACGACTGCATAAAATAGGTCGATATAAATACATAAAACCTGAAATAAGAGTAAGTTGGATTTAATAAACTTGGAAATAGGAAGAGAATAAGAAATTTTCCAGAGGGTTTCCAGTTGCGAAACGCGGTAGAAATGTGATCTCTCTACCCGAAGCCCTTAGAATTGTTAGGAACTTCAAGTATCTCATTCGCGATCTTCGTTCGCTGTTTTTTTCTAACTTATGATACTCCCTCTCTCTTTCTCTTTCTCTCGCGTGTGCATCGGAGGCAATGCACGGTGGAAGGTGGAGGTCGGCGCAGAAGTTTTCAACAGCGAAGCACTCTAAATTATTCATGGAAACGGCAGATAAGGCGACCGTTTTCCCTACGTGCGTATGGAAACAGCGATAAGAGTGACCCGACGTTTTCCCATACATACACCGAGCCTCCCACCTCCACCCCTTTGTTGCTTCTCTCTGGTATTGCTCTTTTCAAAAAGCGTCTATCCCGTCGAGTTATGTTTCAGTAATAGGCAATTTATATTTAATAATTCTGCGTACGGATGTGTTGGCTATACAGTCAATCCCAAAAGTTTATGTACCTTAGAAAAACGCATTTCCTATAATTAAAAAGAAATCAGATTTTTTTCAAAATTGCGAAAAATGCTTCAAATAAAAGTTGTTTTCCTTCTAACTTCGATATTTAACGAGTTACGTATGATTATTTGGCATTTTATTGATATTGACAAAATCCGACCATCCCAGCGTCGAAACGGCCAACTTTTGGCAAAAAATTTCATTTTTCCTTAATTACTCTTAAACCGTTGAATCTACGGAAAAATTGTATAGGACCTTTCTTGTAGAGGACGACGAGATCTACAATTTCCATGTAAAATTTTTTCGCTAGTATTAATATTTAACGAGTTATTGACGAAAAACGAAAAAACAGTTTTTTTAAATTACTCGTTAACTATTGACGCTAGCGAAAAACTTTTATATAGGAATTGTAGATCTCGTCGTCCTCTACAAGAAAGGTCCTATACAATTTTTCCGTAGATTCAACGGTTTAAGAGTAATTAAGGAAAAATGAAATTTTTTGCCAAAAGTTGGCCG